AAATCATTTTATTTTGTTTATCCCCACTTCAACGTACCAAACAAAAAACAAGCATGAGTAAGTTGTCGATAAAATATCGTTGTGTTTTGACAAATCATACCATCTGTTAAATTTTATTTTGAATTTTTTTGCATTAGACTTTCTAAATAATCGTTTTGAACGCAATATGGGTATGGATCTCAATGGTGATGGCTATATCGGAGGACAAGGTAAATTAAAATCGATAGAAGTATTGAATTTCAATATTGTTTTTTTTTTTTTCTTAGGATTTATGAGTAAACTGGAAAGAGCAACGCATATTGATTTCAATCGTGACAACATTATTGGTCGTCGTCCGGATGTCTATTATGGTTACCCTTCTTTTTATGGTAGTGGTTATGGCGGTTATCCTCCGATGGGTTACGGTTATGGTGTGCCTTATGGATACTAATAACATTTGATGAACTATTGTTTTCTAGAATCAAAGTGACAATAATATAAAAAGATATTTAATCAATAAAACTTCGAATCAAGATAATCATATGTTGTTTATTAATAATATCTATAAATTAAGAGACTTTATCCGAGAAAAACATATTAGTTGTGTTGAAAAAAAATTGAATATCCATTGAATAAATAACTTTTATTCAACATCTTGTCAAAAATAATATGAGAAAGGAATGAATAAAGGTAAACTAAAATTAGAAATATCATTAGAATCAGATCAGCATAGGATCTTAGACTTTGATCATTAGTTAAGCAAACGCCATAATTATGTCTTAGTTGATTGATAAAAACAATTTGAATTCAATAAGGGTTTTTATGATCAAAATTATAAACTTTGTTTTTATGTTTGGTTTAAATCGATATTCATCATTAGTACATACTCTAACAAATCACGAACACGATTGGACTCATTCTCAAGCAAGTGTTTACAATGCCTCATTAGACTGCTATAAAGTTTTTAACTAATCAACATTGAAAATTCAATTGAAAGATGTCCATTACGGCTGTAAATTTGGCATTGCCGCGATGGTTTTTGAAAAATTCTTCAAAAACTTTTCTGTCACTGTGCTAAACTAGAACAATTAGATTGAATTCATTAGACTAACTATAGTTCTGACTGTTGAACTTGTAGATACTCAAATCAAGCGCAAGTTCATGCAATGCTACTATTCTCTTAAAATACGTTACTGTCATCTAGATTTGAACTTTTCGTTCGATTATAATAACATTTTTTGCGTTTTATATATTCGTACTCCGTCAAATCGCTAAGGAAAAGTGCATGGGTTCTTTTTTTTGAAAACTTAATCATGCTTAAAAAAACAATTTAGATTCAGATTTTATTTCCTTAACAGTTGTCTACAAAATATACTGTTGAATTCTTAAAAATTGTTCGTTGGTTTAGTGTTCTTTTTTTAGTCGCATCACTAGTTTTTACTAATAAAAATTAGCTGAAAGAAAATGCATTATTCCGAGGTACATGTGTCTTAATCTTGTGAAGTCATGCCACCATAGAATGATACTTAAGATAAGTCGTTATGCATCGAGCTCGAATTTCTTAGCTTCAATTCTATTATAATAAGTTTTCAATCATCTACTCTGTGATCACATGGCTCTTATTACCTTTTACATTTATAAATTTGTTTATTTGAGAAAAGAACCATATTGAGCGGAACTGATTATTCTCATGTTAAAAATTAAAGACCAACACAACTTTTGCTAAACTTTGGATATTTTTTTCTTACAATGGATTTCGATAGCTACTAATTTTTAAACTGTCAATACTATGAACTAAATCCGATGAAACACAATGAAAATGACGAGTACATTGCTCATATAAATATATTTGTTTGTTTTTTTTTTTTTGATAAACAGAATAACAAAAAAAAAGAGAAAGAAAGAAACAAGATCATAAATTCTTAATAGTAGAATAATATTTAATATAAAAATAAGCGCAGATCAATGGTATAAGAGCAATAAGAATAGCAACTATAATAATATGCGAAAATCGACAACCACAGTCAGCTTCATCACAATTGAATTGAGTTGTTGTATTTTTGACTGGTTTTATCATACTCTCTGCTAATGATGGAGATGTTAATTGATTAGAAATTAATGCTGTTGTTGTTGTTGTTGACGATGTTTCAATTAATCGTTCAACTTTGGCACGCATCGATGCTAAGTCTTGATCCATAGCATTTAAAAAAGCTAGATGATTTTGTTGAGAAAGATGTGTAACAGGTAATGATATTGTTGATTGTTCATTTGAATCAACTGTTGTTGATAATGACTCGGAAGATTCATGAAGTAAACCAAAACGATGTACGGGTACACGACAATGTGTTAATGCATAAAAATCTTGATCATTTTGTAGATTATTTAAACGTTTTAATTGAGAAACCTGAAAGAAACAAATTAAACGAAGTCTTTTAAACAGAAAAATAAATAAATAAATAAATACAGCATACAGGTACACGATATCGAATAGCAAATGCTTGAATAGTTTCACTTGGTAATGTAGGTTTTTCCATAATAACAATTGAACCACCATCATGTGCTAATGATATTAAATTTGGTCGAGAAGAACGAGTACGAACAATATGATCATCATTTGATTTTGATTCATCATCAGAATTAATTGTTCCTAATTCAATATCAGTATTGTTAAACGTATATAGAAGTGGATCAGTTAACGAATTATTTGCTTGACGAAATTTATATTTTCCTACTAGATTTTGACTAGGTTTTTTAAGTTTTTTTTTATTAGATGAAGAAAATAGAGATCCTTTTAATATATTCATAGAAGATAATAATGGTATAATATTAATCGTAATCAGAAATAATTCAAATAAAACTGAGAGCATAATCTGTCAAAAATTGATGTTTAATAATTAACAATTAACGTAAAAAAATAAGATTAAACATGATTTTAATCATGTTATAGATCGTAAGTATAATAACGTAACGTTTGTTAATATAAAGTGTTTAATTATATTGGAATCTACATTTTTTATTAGTTATACTTTAAAAAAATAGGTGTACGTCACACTATCAGTGATTGGTTTCATACATCCATCGAGTTTGGGTTCTGTTGCAGCGACATCTTTTGTTACCAACAATGAGTTTTTTTGAAATTTGAGCTCTATCAAATCAAGGACACCATTACCATCCCATGAGATTTTAACAGGACAAAAATCGTCATCCAAGTCAGACAAAACGAGCCGTAAACGATTCAAAAACGGGTCCAGTTTTGATGATCGTTTACGTCTTAGCGAAAACGATCATTGTTACGAACATCGGTTTTACCTCGCTTTCACATGCGATCAAAAAAGTGCCTTATATATATCATTAGAAACTATAAAGCGATGTGTAATAGACAAATCGTAATGGTCTTATTTACCATTTCTAGTGTTTTGCTGAGATTGAAATGTACTTTATTTTATTTTGTCTCACTGTTTTTCGTGAATATAAGGTTCGAAATAACTTTTTTGGAACTAATTTAACCATTGATGGATCGACGTTGTTGAAATCTATTCGACGATATCTCATGCGCTCGACAAAAACATCGCTATGTCGTGCCACACAATGATTGACATGACATTAATATTTAGTTATTGAGTAAATAAATATATCTCCGCGCATATTCTTCGTTTACCATTTTTTCCACAGACAAATTTTATAGATGATGGAAATCATACTTTTGTGTTTTAGATGCTTAGTAGGAAATTTATTCAAATTTCAATGATCTCTATGGTATCTCGACACAAGAGTTCGAAAACATTTCGAAACGACTCTAGTGAGTAAGTTGTTAAAAAATACATCTTTGAAACTATACTTTTTTTTATTAGTAAACTACTTTATCTAAAAACATATTTCATAGTACTTTCATTTATATTAAGTATGATTATTGCGTTTGTGTGGGCTACTTTTTGATATCTCTACTTTGGATGTAGCTTCTGATCATAAATACGTATTCAGAACTTGTAATTAAGTCATGAAACGATTCGTACGATAGTAGAAGATATAAGCAAGATGTCACTTAAATTGCAATACGAGTAATGAAAATAACCGTATACGGCAGAAAGGCGGTATAGCTACGAGAGTATACGATGAAAAGACGGCTTTAATAGTACGCATCGATTTTTGACGGAAACGACTCTAAACGGTACCGTTTATGTTTCGATGAAAAATCGTGAACGATGAAGATCATGTAAAGCAATAATTTGCGCTGCTTCTTCGATGTTTTAGGCAGTTTAAAGAGTTGTTTCAGCCGGTAGGAATGATTGACTTGGACAGTATACACTGGCAGCAGTGCAAGCAAGCACGCAGCATAGGATATGTCTTATACATCTAGACCATTATTGTTTCTTCGTAGCATAGGAGTCATTTTTATGCATTTACTTATTTCAATAGAATGATGTCTTATATTTGTGAATGACACAACTGGACAGCTCAATTCCATTGAATCGATCAAATTTTTTTTTAAATCATCTATGAATTGATTTGAACTGGATTGAAAAGATTTTGTAAGATTCATGAATTGCAGTGAGTTAGGATGTCTTATCTTGATAAACGCAGGATTCCGCAGACGTCTTTGAGACTTTCTAGAGTCAGGGGCGATGCAAAGAAAAACGTTATCAACAACACTCATATTACATGCAAACATCTCAATGATAAGTCTATAGAAAGAATCTAGTAATTACTATTAATTAAATCTGTATATCGAACTTTAATTTCGAAATTATCCAATATTTTGCTTAGAGAATTACGCTATAGAATCTTTTTGTTCATTGAACATCGTAGTTCATGATTAAGCGATCAAATTTTTAGAGGCTTTTAACTGAATAATACTTTATAACTCTCGGTAGTAAGTTATGTGCAATTAAATGAAAAGTTTGACGAACCATTTATTGAGATAAACCATCTCCTTATACACCATAAACATCAGATTTGAAATTATTTACCTTTCTGTTTAGAATATATAGTGGTTCCCAACATTATTCAGCCAGGTTTATTTTCAATTTCTTTCTATTGCTGTTAACGCTAATACGAATTGAAAAAGTGGTTTGTGTAGAGAATTTTATCTCGAATACAAGTTCCCCAAGCATAGGATCTCTGGAAAACCTCAAACCAAGACGAATGAGCATTAAGTATCTCAGACATATCGAAAGTTGGATATGTTGGACTTTGTAGTACTATTAGACAAAGTACGGCTTAAGAAGCATCTTTTTTTATTGTCTGTTGATGACATCTATATATATGTCGAAGTCAGGTAAGTAAAAGTATGCGTTTTTTTTTTCTCCTTATATAATTCGGTAATATGTGGAATAACTAGTTTGTTTATTATTTATTTTTTTTTAAATTGAAATAGTTTCATAATGATCAGTATTCAACTCCGGTGTCAGTTGTTGATACAATGCCCAATCGACAAAAACTCTATATCGGTTTGGGTGTATCAATTGGTGTTTGCACCGGTATAGGTCTTTATCTATTTTACCGTCATCAACGACAACTTAAACGTAAATGATTATTTTTTAAATTGATTTTTTTTTTATATTAGTTTACTTTATTTAGTATCGAAAACAAGTCGTCCTATCTCACCGACATTAGTTCTTTCATCCTTAAAACCTTATAATGATTATCAATATGTGGACCTGATATCACCATCAGAAATTGATAATGATGATTCAGAATCAACAGAATATCTTAGTAATTATGAATATAGTTTTTTTTTGTAACATATAGATATATCTAAACTAAGAATTAAAATTTAAAGATGAAACACAAATTCCTGATGGTAGTGTTCCATTGACACCTGATCAAGCATCTATTCTTACTCGTTTTCTTTATGAATGTAATGATAATGAAGAACAACAATTACATAGTGTTTTAACAAGCATTGACAATGCATCAACTTTTAAAGAAAGTAAATTTCGTTTTATTTTATAAGGAAAAAAATTGCTTTTTTGTCATTGTAATCTTTAATATTTTCTATAGGTCAAATAAATTTAGCCAATGCTGGTTGTATTACTCGTCTTCGTGAATTGCTTTCAAAAACAGATAATGAAATAACAAAATGTAAAATTTTTTTAGCTCTTAATAATCTCGCTCTAAATGATTTTGCTATTACTCAATTTTCGGTAGGAGTTTATTATGATTCAATTATTTGTGTTTATTTGTTTTTTTTAATTTAAATTTATCTTATTCTTGTAGAGTATTGTTTCTATTGTAATTAAGTTATGTCGTACAAGTCCATCAAATTCACTTGTTCGTCTTAATGGACTTACTTTACTTATCAATATGAGTGTTCTTTCGTATCTTCATGAAGAATATATGAGTAATATATATGAGCTTGGTTTATTAATTGAATCAACCATTAAACATGATGATGAAGCATTATCATCAGGAAAAATTCTTGTTAATTTGTCAACAAATAAATTAAATCTTGAAAGTTTACTAAAAATAACAGTAAAAAAAACTGATTTTGTTTTTCAAAATAATAGTTTCTTGTGTTCTGTTTTTGTTTAAGGGTGTGGAACTTAAACCAATAATGAATTTTTTTACATCAAAAATAGATCAATCACCTAAGTCAGAGCAGATTCTTCTTCGTTTTCTTTCATTCTATTGTAATTTGGCTGATATGATTATTAATGAATTGAAAGAAGGCGGAGATACGAATAATAACAATAATTCATGGCTATTCGATCCAGCACCCCAACGACAAGGCGCACTTTATTTTGAATTTCTCAGTCCTGTATGGAATTAATTGAAATTTTCTCTCCTGTCATAAAATTTGTTTTTTCTTTTTCTTTTAGGATAAACAAATGTTAGCTAAGTCTCTTCTACGTCCACAATCTACATCGACACAAGTAAATTCTCAAATGAAACGTCTTTATCAATTAATGGATAAAATCCGTCAGAGTCATATGGAATTATCGGTTTCGTCCAGTAAAAATGATCAATCAACTGTAAAACATAATGAAAATTTGCTAGATACTTCAATAGATGATAAAAATACGACTCTTGCTCCCGAATCTTCATCATTTGATCAATCATAAGCTAGTTAGCGTCCAATTTATACAATTTAATTCTTTGTTTTTCGTTTTCATCCTTCAATATGATCCATTTATTATTTCCTTCCATAACCAAAGCACAAAATCTTTTGTTCTGGTTTTTTTTTTTTGATAATATTTTCCGATACTTTGTTTTTTTTCTTGTAGATCTTTTTTTTCTTCATATTTATAACATTCGGCCGTTATAATGGGTGTTGATCTCGACCATCGTTTTGATCGCAAGGCAGTACGCCGAGCTCCACGTTCAAAAAATTTATATTTACTCTTACTTGTTAAACTCTATCGGTTTTTGGCACGTCGTACAGGTTCAAAATTTAATAAAATTTTATTAAAACGTTTATTTATGTCGAATACAAATCGACCACCACTTTCATTATCACGTCTTGTTCGACATATGAAAAAGAAAGGTATTTTTTTAATTTAATAAATTAAATTATAATTGAATGAAAGCGTTGTTTTTTTCTTTAAATATCTTTTAAAGGTCGTGAAAATAAAACAGCCGTTGTTGTCGGTTCGATTACTGATGATGTAAGACTTTATGAAGTACCTAAATTAACAGTCTGTGCTTTACATCTTACAGAACGTGCTCGAGCAAGAATTCTTGCAGCTGGTGGTGAAATTTTAACATTCGATCAATTAGCACTTCGTTCACCAAAGGGTAAAAATACAGTCTTATTACAAGGTCCAAGAAAAGCTCGCAAAGCTAATCGATACTTCGGTATGTTTATGAATTTTATTTATTGTTTCTCTTGTGGAAAATCTATTTTTGGTTTTTGTATTTCAGGTCGACCACCTGGTGCTCGTCATAGTTCGACAAGACCTAAAGTTCGTTCGAAAGGTCGTAAATTCGAAAAAGCTCGTGGCCGACGAGCTAGCCGTGCTTACAAGAACTAAGCAATTAAAAACTGGTACTATTATCATCTTTACCATTTTTTTGTAGTCCATCATTACTTTGTTTTTCTTCTCGTGTAATACAACATAAGAGCATGAAAAAAAAAAGAATAAAAGAAAAAAATCCGTTCTTTGAACACACACACACATTCAAAATATAATGATACATCTTATTTATACATCGATCTTACATTCAATTAGTATAATTGAGTAAAATTAATAAGGCATATTTTCAATGATATTAAATTAATCCATGTGAAAATTTTTGTTTTACTTAAAAAATACTCAAGTTTCACAGTAAAAGTTCTGATAATAGCATTAATTCAAAACACAAATATAAAGAGATGTAAATTTTTGAAATAGTTCACATAATTATTTATATAAATTTCCATACTTCCTAAAAATTTATCGAACCTTTTTTTTTAAACCCCTCGAATATTTTTAATTATTCTGGACATCAAATGAACCAATGATTTTTCATTTGTTTGTTTACTTAAATTACACTTAATATAATCATTTAACCAAAAATCACATGTTGCCAGATCTAGTGATAAACAGTCGATGTGTATGATATTAATGCTTTCTTGTGTTTAAATAGTCAATAACATTTAGATGAGAATTGAGTCCAGTACTGACACAAAATAATTTCATAAATTTTGCACCTAATGACTTTTTTTTATTTGCATACTTTATTGACAATATGCTTGAAGCAATTTTGAATATAATATTGGTGATTGGTTGTCTTGCATTTATTTACGCTATGTATAAGAATAGAGCCAAAGAATATAGAAAACAAACTTTTTAATACAAAACTACTTTGGTGATCAATCGTTGTTGATGATTCATCTTCATTAATCCAGCTTTCGTTAGCTAACCTGTGCTTAACTTTTCAACGATAAATCGATGTTTTATCATCTATAATAAAATTACGCGATTACCATGATCCACTACAAGTCGCCCTCAAATTCTAACTCGTTCTTGTCTTTATTCATCATTTAGCTGATAAGACATCTAACATGATTGTAACGTTTCTCATTTGTAGATGATCTCGGATAATTCGATCGATTGTATCATGAGAGAGATTTGCTTATTGTCATATACTGATTTTTACACGTTATCACTCTTGATAATAAGACTTGCGAAAACCAATGCACTTGTATCAAATAAAAAGCGATTCATATATGGAATCAAGACATTTTCATTCTGCTATCATAAAACTACTTCTGCTTAGTTTTCAACATGGAACGTTCAAATTTCTAAAATTACTAATCGCAGTTTTATTGAACTACTCTGTTATTTGATTTTTTTGCGCAACAGTTTCTAGTGAATGTCCATCGATTTATCAAATGATCAATAAATATCATTCCTTTTGTGCTAAAAAACTATCTCTCTCTAGTTTACCTCCAACAACCAAAGAAATTCAGCTTATCTTAGAAGTTCATAATCAAGAATGATCTAATGTGAATGATTAATATATGCAAAAAATGGTACTCTGAAAAGATACGGTTGACTAAAAAGAATGAATATAATTTTTCATTAATAGTATTGGAATACAGATTTAGCAGAAACTGCTCAACGTTATGGTATAATTTAAATAAAGTGTTTGACAAAGAGATAAAGAATATTTTTCTAGCTGATCATTGTAATTTTGATCATGATAAACCTATTCAACGACAAGTACCTCATATTCCACTTCCAACTGGTCAAAATCTTGGTATATTTTCTAAAATTATTTTATTATTTTTCATTCATTTATCTAGCTATGAGTTAAAAAACTTGGGCTTTAGCAATTCAAGGTCGGGCAGATGAAAAAAAAGACTTCATCTATGGTAGCAATATAGAACATGCTGATGTTGGACATTACACACAAGTACATTACAATCATGTGATGTTTCTATAGTTTTATCTTGAATAGATGGTGAAACATACAGCAGCACTTATTGGATGTGGTCTAGCTATTTGTCCTAAGGACAAAGTTGATTCACATAATGATTGACCACATTATGTATGCAGTGAGTATTGACTTAACATCATATTGTAGCCGTTTAAAGTTTCATCGTGAATCTCAAAGCTTCACATACGAGGATAATCCTCTAACTGTTCAATCGATTTCGGCTTCAGACTATGTGCGTTAATGTCCTGGAAAGAGCTCGTGCCTTAAGTTTATTACTATGCAGATACTACAGCATTGTATAAATAAATGCCGTGATCTACCTAAGAACAGCAGAAATGCTGATTTTCGATCTTGAACTTGAAATTTTGTACCGATGTATGTGAGCGACGTAACAGGACATACTATTATCATAGTCTTATTTTAGGATAGGAAAAACGAAAAGATCTGAAATGTTCATAAGAAACTATTTTCGTTAAGACTTGTCTCTATGTAAAGTTTCAAACTTGAAATTCAAGAATAGTCACGTCTGAACTTTAATATAATTTGAGTATTTTTTTTCTTCCTTATTTAGATTACGTGACTGGGTGTGTCAACAATTTTTATTTTAGAATATATGCCTTTATTTCATGAACAAATTGGCAATTAAGTGATAACAAATCATATATAATTGCTAGTCCTTCCGAATCGAATAACAAACGATTACATGATTCATTTTTTTATAGAATTATTTTTATTCAGACAAGTTCCTAGTTATATTTTAGATTGTCATGGTTTAGTATGCCTTTACAATGAAATTATTGATCTCGATTCATATAAATATCAATGTGAATCTTATGCAACAAGTGAACAATGTGAAAATCTTGATTGTACATTATTATCTGATGATTGTAAATATGGAAATGATAAATCATTATGTACACAATATTCAAATATTTCTAATGAATGTCCTAAATTTTGTGGTTTATGTTCTCGATATGATGAAATGAAAAAATATTATGATTCACTCGAGATATTATCAAATATTGGAATTCAAACGATAGAAAGCACCCAATCTGTTATATCATTTGGAAATATATCTTTTCATTTAGTTTTTATTTAATTAATCATAGTACGTTTTGTACTGTCGTTGATTAAATAATAAAATACATGTATATACATAAAAAGCAAAAAAAATGTCACTGGGTTTAATCATCATCGTCTACGCCAGATTCTCCTTCTCGATGTCGTAAACGATAGATTGATGTTAACATACGAAGCATAAAGGTAGCCGGAACTGTTACTGTGCTTGATGTTTCTTTAATCATTTTATGATTAAGTTCCACAGTACGCTCAATACGATCAGTATCATCAATTGGTGTTTCAGCCAAAGGTGAAAATATTTTTATATTACTAAAAAACAAAAATTATTATTGTAGAAGTGATCAAATAGATTAATCATTTTTTAATTAAAGTTCTTTGTCGAATTACTTCTATTGAGTAATAAGATACACTCAATGTGAATAGAATCAGAACAGTTTTAGATATTTCTAAGATTAAAATTTAGAATATTCAATAAGAAAAGAATCTAAAAGGATAATCTATACTTGACTACTATATCTTGTAAATTGTGTACTATTGGTAATCTCTGTCTTTACTTCATCAAAAAATTTTATTTGATTTTTATATCAGTTTAAACCGAAACATATTTACTGATCATTGTAATCATTTTATACTTCGAATAATACGACTCATTTAGGATATAAAGCGAAACCAATAAGTTTTCGTAAATGATGTTGAGCATGAAAAGGTTTGATATAAAAACATTTTTCTTTTAGAGTTTATCTTGTGGTAAACTCAATAGTTCGGTATCTTTTCCACAACTAATACTAGCTATAGATCTGGACTGAAGGCGACCTAATACACAGTTGTTGCGCTCAGTTGCTTGAGCTTTTCATATACTATACCTAACCACAAGAGTTGATGAATATCATAATGCAGTTCCTATTGAGATCTGTCTCTGTGCAAAGTTTTAAGTCGAAATCCGAAAATCACTTTTTTTTGTAACCACAACATTTATTTTAAAAGTGATGTAACAGTGTACGAACTCTTTTTAGAGTATTCATAGTTTATTTGAATCTACATAGTATCACACAAAAACTTACTAATCAATTCCACTTGATGCTAAAATAGGATAATTAAGTGGATGAGGTTGTACGCAATTAACAACATGTTCATCAGCTTGTATAACTCGTATGATGTTTCCATTAAATTTATTCCAAATAAAAATATGCCTATTAGAAAAAAATTTTTTCATAATAATTATTCACTCTAAAATATCAAGATTTTACCCGCAATCAGAACCGGACATAACATAACTATCCGACCAAAAATTAGCTTCTTTTATCATAGTACGTGTATTACGATGACCATCATAAGAATTAATTAAACCTAAACTAGGAATATTTTTTAGAAGATTTTCTTCATGAGCACGTTCAGCTTCACGACGTTTTTTCATACGCTCCCATTTTGTTCCAACAAATCTACGACGTATATTTCCTGATGAATGAGCATTGCCTGCTGTTGCTGATGATGCTCGAGAATCCTCCTAAATAGTTCATTAAATGATCAACTGCAAATTAAAAAAAAACTCACATCATCATCATCATCATCATCCATATTGTTTGCATCATCATCGTCGTCATCATTCTCTTCTTCCTCGGTACGAAACCTTGGACTTCCACCAAATATAAGATCAAATATACCAATATGCTAATAGCAAATAAAACAAATATGAATTAAATGGAATATTTTTTGTATAAAACTAACATTAGATTCATTGTCATCTTCATCATCATTATTTGTTGTTGAATTTTGAATAGGTGTAGGTGAGGGTGATGATTGTACCATAGGACTATTCGTTGTCGGAGATGATGATGCAATATTAGTATTATTATCATTTGTTTCATTTGATTGAGCATTATTTGGAGTATCTGTTGTTGTTGGTGTTGTTGTTTCTGTTTCTTCATTTGTTTGCTCAGTTTCTGATGTAGTACGTGTAACTAATTGTGTTAAAATATCACTCATACGTCGCATAAGAAAATTTTGTAGATCACGACCAGGCGTTGTTGTTGATTGTTGTTCATTTGATGATTCTGTTGGATTAATTGTTGGTTCCGTTTGTTCTTCTTCATTGAGTGGTCGAGAATCTGGACCTAAAAATCAAAAGACAACTTAATAGAAAATTTTTCATTAAAAACATACCAGTATCACTCCAATCACCTCGAAGACGTAATCGTTTTATATTTGAATTTTTATTTTCATCATTTTGTATGTTATTTGATGTTGGTTTATTTTCTTTTATATTTATTTTTGTTCGTTTTTGATTTCGATGTTCAACAAGTCGTTCTTGCATTTGTTCTTGTGTTGTTAATTGTTTTGGATTAAGTAAATAAACTGAATCAGATGAATAAGATGCTAAAATTTCTGTACCATGTTGATTAAATACGACTGATGTTATACGAGATCGACGTTGTTCTTTTTTGTCAGAAAGTATAAAATATGATATAAGACCATTTATTGATGATTCATATCGACGAGATGATGATACTTGAGTAGAAAGTTTTCGATGATCATATAGACGAATTGACTAAAAATGAAAGATTAAATGTGAAAAACTAACGAATTCTATATTCTATTGTATATTAAAAATATGATTTATAGTTAGGTTTAATGAATTCAAGTGTCGTAAATAGAGAAACTTGCTCTTCGCTAACGGCTTGGTGAAGGTTCTGTAAATTTTCATCGATCGTCGTAGTATACTATAAATTTGAGATAGGATTAGTTCATGTTTTTTTTTGAAACTAAACCGATCCCATCTCTGATATGAAGGTAGCATGTAACATATGATACCACGATCTTATAGAAAATATCAAACTTTGTTATACCATCTTGTCGACTTGTAAATCAAGAAAATTATTTTTCTATGAAAAAGAGCAATGCTTAAACTACCCATTTTGTACGAGGTCTTGATTTAAACGTCGACAATATGATATAACATACTTGACATTTTTTAAAGCTTGTTGCATCGCATATTATGTAAGAACTATGCCAAATACTATGAAAATTTATCTTCATGTTTTCACTCATAGGTGTATTTAAAATGAATCTCTGCAAGTTACCTACATATTGTCAAAATTCTTACTAGTGAACTTTCGATAGCCAAGTAAATTTTACTAATTATTTTAGGTAAGATTTGTTCTTCGTTGATAAAAATTTTTATTTGTAATTAACAATCTTTGTAAAAAAAAATATGAATGCATTATCGATGAGGCCAGTCATCATGATCATTTAAACATAGTTTACTATGATGAAGTATCGGTTTTAGAAACAGACTTTTTCGCTCTTTTCGAATATATGTTCAGATTAACTTTCTGAGGTAATATTGAACAACTCTAAGTAAGTTTTGTGAAAAAAGACCACCACTGTATCTGTACAATGCAAAATAGTAGTTTTGGTATACTTCTTAGCTTTTGAATTCTGTAGAAAATAACGTATTACAATAAGCGACGTCTCTTTCTCCTAAAGAACTAGTTGCTGTAGAAATTGGCAATCACTGTTTCAAAAACTGCTTTTAAAAATACAAAAGTTTTATAATCTGTCGTGCAAAAATAAATAGCACGTCTTGTATACGAAACTTTGTTCTGTAAAGCTGAGTCATTACAAAACTATTTCACTTTTCGTAGTTGACAGGTTTGAATCTAAATACAAATTTAACCAAAATACTATTCTGTAACGTACTATGAAACAATCTGATGATAGCTGTCTAGTATAATCCTATAGGGAAATTCTGAACGAATTTTTGGAAAGAGAAAAAAGTTTGACTCTAACAATTTGTCTTTAAATGACTGGGAAATAAGCGAATCATTTTTTTTTACCGACATATTCTCACCATAGGTTATTTCACAATTAAAAGTAATTTGAACTTTCGCATTTCTGTTTTCTTACAAATCATAATCGATCATGCTCTTGTTATCTCTTATTATTCAATGATTTTATATTAATTCCATAATATTTTATTCAGTAGTAAAAAACAAAGGATTAAATATAATATATTTTGTATTTAACTTACAGAATCCGCACAAGCACAAACAATTTCATTTGGATTCATTGGATTAATATCCATTGATGTAATACCCCAATTACTTTTTATAAGTATATCATCATTACATTGATCTTTTAAACAATTACTTTTTGTTCTTAAATCATATAATCGTATAGTACAATCATCTAAATTAAATATGAAGAAAATAAGTTTTATTCATAAAAGACCTTTGTGTTTTAATAACATACCAGCACATGATAGAAATAAATTCGGTGTATGTGGAATAATTCTTACTTCATATGCAGTTGTTGATCCATGACAAGTAAAACATCCTTCAACTGAATGTGAAGTATTTGGTCGATCAAAATTAGTATGATATACAACACCATCGCCTGAACATGAAACAACTCGTCGATCATTTGTTTCTGGTAAAAATTTTGCTGAAAATATATTTTCTCTATGTCCACTATGAACTTTAGTTAATACTTGTCTTGTAAATGGATCTGTGACAATTAAATTTTGATCATCTGAACCTGATAATATTGTTGTACCAAGTTCATTCCACCATATTGTATTTACACAACCTCGATGAACATTTAATGTATAATCAAGATTTAATCGTCTTGTTATGGATGAGGAATTTTTTAATTTAACTAGAAGACGTTGATGAGAAAGAAGACCGTATTGACGATCAGATAAATATGACATCTGGAAGAAAAACACAACAAACTGATGAAGAAAACCGGAAATCATTAAACTAAAAATTTGTATTTGAATTTTAGCAAGCAATTATCTGTAAACGTCTTCCGATCATTAAATATGAAAATATATGCTATTTATGTTGTTTTTTTGTATAGAACTAAATCAATTTTACTGAAAGACATTTTTAGACAAGAAGTAAACAATAAAATAAAAATCATTTTAAGCTCATTTATCAATAGGCAATTCTTATTGGATAATACTTTTAGATAGGACTGATTATTATGCGAAATTTATAACGAAGAAAATTTGATAACATA